GTATAATGGACCAGGCGAGAAAATAATAAGAATAATGAACAGCCATATATCAGAGACATTTTGTGGGGGTGGAGTGGGGAATGGGATCAGGGGAGGGAAGTGCATGGGACTATGTTGATGGCACATGGGTGACTTGGTAATGGGAAACCCATGGGGATTACAATTGAGATAAAAAAAAAAGTACAACATGATGTAAAAATAAACTATTATATATAAAAAAATAAAATCTCACATTAAAAATTGTGAATTGAACTTTTAGATTAGTTAAGTCAGTTGTGTGCAGTTATAGAGGAGGTGGGGGCCTATGTAAGACCTGACAGCTGCAGCCTGAGGGGGTTACTAATTTAGACATGACCTAGCAGGTACTGAAGTCCACAAAGAGAATAGAGTGAGAGCATATGTCCAAGCTGTGCCATATCTTATTACGTCTCTTGTTTTTGCACTATTCCTTTAAAATGATACTGGGATTTTGTTGTGGTCTTTTTCTTACAGATATACTCTAGAAATGATCAAGCTAGTACCGCATAATGAAAGTGCATGGAACTATTTGAAAGGGTAAGAGGTGTTTTTTCTTGTTTTGTATAAAAAACAATCCACTATTAAGATGTATTGTGAAATATGTTACATAATCAGAACCTAAAAGGATACTAAGAAATTTTTCATTTTTCTGAATCAAAGAGCAGAAATATACCAGTGTCTGGTAAAACTCAGGAACATGCCCTCTACCCTTCTCTGCACCCACGCACATACCAACACAATTTTTAGAATAGTCCATGCATACTTGTGATTGTGAGTCTTGTAGTTTTTATGTAAAAAAATGGCACACACACACATATTTTCTGTTCATCTCAGCAACACTGTAGGACAAGACACATCTTTTACAAGCAGATTGCACAAATATGTGGCAGATCTTTGTTTTCATAACTAGAGACCTCCTGTTAGATCTCACTTCTTAAGAGAAAAAAGTTTCAGTTGCCTGGACACTCACAGAACTGGTGTCCTTGTCAGTCTTCAGAGGCTCCAGAGAGCCCAGTCACATGTGGAGATGGGTTAGGGAGAACTCAAGGGATAAAGAATCATTCAAGAGGAAATGGGAACAATTCTCCTGTTTTTCCTTCTCTCTTTAATTTTTTTTTTCTTTTAAAGATTTATTTATTTATGCAAACAAGAGCTGGGGTGTAGGCCAAAGGTGCTGGAGGAGGGGGGAGAGAGGATTCACCAGAGACAAGTGGGAAGCAGAATAGGTGGATCTATTGAAATACATTGCTGAGAGGAGCAGCAGGTGAGACAGGAGAGGTAAGCTATGTTATATGGGTTAGCTCTGTAGCTGGATCAAATAGTTTGCTGTAGCTCATGCCAATAGTTTGCTGGTGCTGAGACTTAACCTTTGCACCATCAGGGAGGCCCCATGCTGTTTATTTGTTTCTATAGATTTTAAGATTAAGTAATGCTTTTCAGTGACTATTTCTTGGCCATAAGTAGATCTTAGACTTTTCCCCGGTATTACTTTACCAATGAAAAAAGTCATCTCATTTTAACAAGGGAAAGCCAAAATTAAAATCTCTCACATTAGAAAAAGGAACTCTCCTGCACTGCTGGTGGGAATGCAAACTAGTACAACCACTGTGGAAAGCTGTTTGGAGGTTCCTCAAACTGCTTAACATG